CCCCTGCTTTTTCCAGGAAAACAACCGGACCAACTACTGACGGCGGCCAGTTCAGTTGAGTCATGTATTAGTCGTCCCGCACTCTTTTACATCGCCGATCGTCAGACAAGAATTCGATTTCTTATGACACAGGAGCGAAAGTTAGTGTAATTCTCGCAACCCCACATGACCATAAGATTACCATATCCACGAATGCTCTGCAAGCAGTAAATGGAACTGCCATTGCAACTTACGGGCAGAGGTCCACAACCGTAGATCTTGGATTGCGGCGTACACTATGATGGGTATTCATCGTTGCAGATGTTAGATATGCAAATTTTAGCGCCGATTTCCTAACTCACTTCGGTCTTCTAGTCGACATGAACCACCATAAGCTTTTCGATGCTACCACTCATATTGGCGCACTGGGAATTCACTCAAATTCCCCATCACTGAGCCCTACTCTGCTTTGCGCAAAGACCAATACGAGGTATGACGCCATCCTCTGCAACTTTCCCAACCTGACCTAGCCCTGCAACAGAAAGCAACCTTCGAAACATGACGTGCAGCACTTTATCACCACGACCCGACCACCCGTGCACGTTCTTGCCGGTCGTCTGGCTCTAAAAAAAATGTCGAGTTGCACGTCAGGAATTTCATCACATGACGGATTTAGGATTATCCCCCATTCATATTCATATCCCCATCATATCCCCAATTCACGCTTAAAGGGACCATGAAGGGAGTTTCGAAGTTTTATTCGACGATTGAAATGGATGTCAGGCACGTCTCAGATACTGTTGACCGAGTTCTAGCCCGAACAGAAGTTTGGGTGCCGCACCAATCGAGCAAACAGGCGCGGTAATAATAGCGCCGGGAACGATGCCTGAGACCCCACCGAGGCGGCGGCAGAAAGGTGAACTAAAGTGCGCCGTCGAAGCGTGACGACAACGGGCTCCTCGTCTGGCGATTGGTTCAAACGATAGACGCGCTCTTGGTTTCGATTTCGGTGGTGAGATGTGATGAAAAATTTTTATTTGAACGTTGGATAATCTTTTGAAGTTGTAGTTGGGAATTAATAGGTTTCATACCGTGTATAAAAGCATAATCTGAAGCGATCCCTCCGTTTGTCACTGGTTGAACGCATCCCGCACTGCTACCTCGGGCGCGTAACAAGCATCGAGCAGCCTTGGACAAAAAAAAGAAAAAGAGGTACGAGCGCCGGGGGCGGCGGAGTTTTGGCTTTGGTTTCGTGCGACGTCTCGTGTTCGCTTTGCGAACTGGTGTCTCACCAATCATGCCGCGTTTATGTGCAGGAGCAGGTTCCGCGAAAGGTCGGCTAAAGACGTGCGGTCGATCGGGCGACGTTAGTTTGCATAAACTGCCGACCGATGAAGCAATGCTGCGCATTGCTACATCGGTCGCCAATCCAGAGTTCCGCGTCCTTAGCAGCATCTCCCGTTCAGTCGGCGTGAGGTCGCTGAACGGGAGCTCAAACTCGTTTGTGAGCGCGGCGTTGTCGTCCATTTCTTCCAGGTTTTCTTCACAGACCGCCGTGCATTAGAGCGAATCACGGGAACCACACTGAGTGTGCACTAAATCCTACCGATGCCGACAGTGCTCCCTGACGTCACTTCTCCTTCCAGAGGCGAAAAAGGGAAGAAATCTGAATGTTTGTTTCGGTTTCGCAAATTTATTTGCAGGTACTGAAATAAGAGTCACAACGTCCTAGAAAAAAATTTTGTGGCATGCCAGGACACCAATGCTTCCAAAAACACCTTCTTTTAAAAAAAAAATTAAATTGCCTTCATGGTCCCTTTAAGCGTGAATGGGGATATTATGATGTCAGTTTCGTTGCGTGTGCTCGCGCACACCGGCGGCTGCTGGCTTGTGGAAAAATCGCGCACCACTTATTAGAGACACTGAAATTTTTGGTTCAGCCTCCCTTTAAACGTGGGCAAATGTAACCAAATGCTACAGTGTGAATGGCCCTGAAATCAGTCTAGTCCGGTCTTGAACATAATATTCCGTCACCGACGCTGTAGCCATTTTACCCGATCTTTGCCGCAACTCGCCCCATCCAAGGCCCAATGGATCGACCTCGCCACACGACGATCATACATATCAAGTCCAGGACAGCACTCCAGTTTACAGATCTGCTTTTTTCCTTGTCCCTGCACACAAAGCAGAAAGCATTGCTTGACGCTTGTTTCATACATTGCGAGGACATTTGCGATTTTGCAGTTGCGACATCGCTCTAGCGGCTAGAGAAACATGTTGAAAGCTGTGATCTTGAACGTCGCAACTATGAAATCTCAAACATAATTGCACCGTGTAAATTTGAAAATTCAGGCTTCAATCGTCTTAATAGATCCAACTTTACTGCGTAACTAGGTAAGCGTACTCTTCACTGCGTATGCAGTTAACGGGCTTCTACTTATAGTATATGAACAATCAGAGCTTTTTTCGGGTGGAAGCAGCGTAAAAACTAGCTCTCAACCCTTTGAACAGGCAAAGAAAAGATCAAGCTAAAGCTTGAACATAAGATAATTATGTAGGGCTCTTTTTTTTTTTTTTTTGGAAGGAACCATGCATAGGTATGTGTTGCGCGGGAAATTTCAGATATATATTTGGACAGAACATTTTTTCCGACTTATGCAAAAAAAAAAAATCTGTTTCTGCTTTTTTATATATCGCTTGTAATGATTTCTGCATGTTGAGAATTTATTCAATTTGCGGTTGGTACTTTTGCTTATATGATTCAGCTTTTGCACAAACCATGACCACGGGACTATGCCGGCGTGCAGTCGTGCATCGCTACTGAGTGATGAAAGCTGAACACCTCAAGCCAGCAGTCGTACTGCAGTGGCTATTTTTGTATGTGCTACATGAACAAGCACAGCGACCTCGCGCTGTGCCGCCAAATTACCTTGGCTTTTTTGGCGGTACATGAAGCGTTAATCCTGTCCTCAGTTATAACATAAACACAGCACGGTTCATAATTTGAACAATGGGAGATAATAATCATAACGAAAGTCTAACATTGCTCAAAAATTAAGATTAGGAAACGGTCCTCACATGACACGATATGAGATCCCCTTCCCTGTCTGATTCGTTCGGGATGAGCTTAACAATGGCGTGCAGTAATATATCACTACTTCGGGAGGCACCTTATAAACCCCAGCTTATTGATCGCGCTGCACGCTTTTCATATACAACGTGATCCGGTGTTACCGTACTGCAAAGTCCGACAGACCTTTCTCACTCAGTCTGAACTCACGATTAACAGGTTGTTGTAAATAAGGACGACGTCATCTACGACGTCATCCTTGACGTCAAGGACCTCATCTCGGACGACATTGAGGGCGACGTCCTAGAAGACGACGTTAGGAACGACGTCTAGGATGACTTCATGGACGACCTGTATAGTAATCTCCACGACGACGAGGATGTAGCGTCGTTTGAGCACGATGCAAAATTTAGCGGGGAGTTTCCCGCTAAATTTAGTGGCAGAATTGACATCACGACCTATGCACAAATTTACTTTCCCCGCCAAATTTGGCGGTGTGCAACCATGAAGGATATAACAATCGTAGATAATCACCACTGCGGTTTCTACAAATTTGACTGGACTATCACTTTGCTACCCTTTAATTTTTATTGTTTTTTTATTGCCATCGTGACATCAAAATTTTCAGCTTCCACATAAATTCGTATTGACGAAACTTTTACCGGCGAGTGTTATTCTGAATTTTTACTATTTATCCAAAACCCTGTTATGTTGGGCAAGGCCTGAGAGGTCTTGCCCAACAATATATATATATATATATCATTTATTTTCCTTTCATTTCTTTTACGTGTTCCTTACTTCGCTGATATATATGTACGTTTCAATGCGTCTGTGTTTTAAACCTTCATGTGCGTATCATTTGTGGAAGTGAGCTTTTAAATTGTGATCATTTTATTAATAGCCCACTTCTGTAGCGGCCGACAGGCAAACAGTATGAATAAATAAACAAGAAAAGGCGGAAACCTACGTAAAATCATTAACACAATGGTGCTTCGGATATGTGCGCCAGGCTAACTTATTGAATTGGTGGCCATGTTTAGTGTGAATCACAAATATTCTGGTTACTTGTGGTGTAAGTAGACCTAAGGTTTCGTAACGTAACGTAGCTTCAGAAACCGGGGCTGTGAAACCAGCCTTCAGAAACCTCCACTCTAACAGTGCAATCGTGTGCGTTCAATTTATATTTCGTTCTTTTAGCTCAATTTATATGTTTTGTGCAAAGTCAGCTCGTTCTTCATACTAATGTCAACACTGTCAAGCCTCAACAGTCTCACGCCTCAACAATAGGCTAGGTGGCGCAAGCTATCGCCCGTTATAAAGAGTACAGCCGCTATTATTCATCTATCCGCCCATCGTTCCAGTTGCCAACAAACCAGCTTCAGCTGCAGGTAGTGGCTAAGAAGTTACACGTACAACCTTATAAACATTATCGACAATGTTGCTGAATGCTACCATCAACGCGTTTTTTCTTCATATTTGGTGTATAAGTGAAATCTTGAAGCGCATAATACTTATCTGCCTAATTTCAGTAAAAACTAGGATAATTATTTTTCTTTTCGAAACAAGAATTTCGCGGTTGTACTCTAAAAGAAGAGCACTTGTATCAAGCGTAAACGTCTAAGGAACCTCCACTCTTCAAACAAAGGAACACCGCCGTCACAAACCTGACTATTACTATAGTCTCTTTTGTGACTATAGTTACACAATATCTGCAAGAAAAGCTCCGCGCCCATATTTAAGAAAAATAAACAATTCATACCCAATAAAATCGTATCATTTTCCTAGTGCCGTTAACTGGACGTTCTACAACCCCATGTTGCTTGGAAATTAAGATTAACGAATTTAGATTAAATTAAAAAAAAAACTAATTGCAAGAAATATTATGCCAACACCTCCAACTGACGAGACGGAAGCCACTTGCACACCAAAACCCTTCTGTGTGGGCGGAGCTTCACTTTTTTGTGGGCACAGCTTCGCACTTTGTGGGAGGAGCATCTCCTGTCAATCTTACATTGCAAAAGAAAATACTTTATTTTCGCATGCTTAAACGTTCCGTACTCACTGTGCACTCCTTAGCACCGAGGTTACTTGTGAGGCGCCTGCAGAACCTTTTTCTGGAAAGTCGGTCCCCTGGGAGCTTCTTGGACGGCGTCGGTTTGTTCTGAGTGTAAGTTCGGTCGAGACACCGCTGTGGCACGAGGCTGAGAAAAAAAAAAAAAAAACATTTATCTCCGTATTTTATGACAGCAGAGGGGATTAAGGGACACTCAAGCATAAACTTAGAATGTTCACATCTTAGTCAAGCTATACAGAATGCTGTAACTACTACTGACAGCTTACAAAAATCAGGACGTGATTTGTTACTTTACCGCCTCTGGCTTTGAGATTGGTTGTTCGGCGTTCTTGTCGGCCCATGTTGCAATCTCGTTGGTTCCGGAGCGATAATGAGATGTTTGTAACGGACACACCTCACGTCATAGTAACATTGTCATAGAAAGCCGTTGTCCTAAACACACCCCGTCTCAGCCATAATCATAGTCATAGTCACAGAGTGATAGACAGTCATAGATACAGTCATGGGCATAGACACACCCCGTGTCATAGTGAGTGACTATGGCACGTTATAGACATGTCCATGTCACGGTGTGTAAGACATTTCGATATCAGCGTAGATAGAGGCGTACAAGGTAAATTATATACGAGCCGTGTCTCACAAGTGATGAGAATTAATTCGATACGACCAATATGTCCATACACAAATAACATTTACTTTGAGATCGTCCCCGCGGTTTCCTTGGATATGTACAGACGGTTTACAGATTCGCTGCTGTTTCTTTTTAAATATCGTTAAAAATGACAGCCGTTTACAACACCCTGTAACGCCGAATTAGAGGGCAGCACTTGAGGAGGAGGAGGGAAGGATACTGAGGGGAGGGTACATCCCTCCTCCCTCTCACTCCTTGTCCCCTCCTCCTCCTCCCCTCATCCTTCAACCTCCTCCTCTCTTCCCCTCCTCCTCCCCTTCCTCCTCCTCGTCCCCCTCCTGCTCCTCCTCCTCCCCTCGCAGTGCATTATGGGATATTTCCCATAATGCACTGCGCTGTCATGCCGACGGCGACGCCGCTCAAGCCGGAAACGGCTTCAGCGGCGGACCGCTTTCTCGTGGTGCAGGATGTGAGAGACACCAGTGATGTCCGTTCACACTCGCACTATTTGCTTCCGTAGCCTGTCGAACCGACGCCACCTAGAAGACAAGGCCTGCGCATATGACGTCATCGTTAGTAGATCACCAACCCGCACCAAGCGGCAAACACGCTGAATGCTCGACGAGAGTCGTCGCAGAGCGGCAGACGCGTGCGTCTTTGCTAAGACGCGCGTGGTAGCGTCGACCTCGTTGTGAGACGCGATGCCACACGCACTGGCGTCGACGCTGACACAGGCTAGGCGGGGCTGCGTGGATCCATCGGTGATGACGTTTGAGGGGGGTGAAAGGCGCAAGCCTTGTCTTCTATGATTATTGGTCGAAGACTTACCGATAAAAAAGTTATATTGACTGTTTCTTCAGATGGCGACCCGAGCAATCTTCCAGCACCGCTCATTGTTCACAGGTATTTCTTACTCTACAGGCCAGTTAATGACTGACGCTCACGCGGGAAAGAAAACATCGCTATACACCGATTCTATCATTTGACGTTACGCCGCCGTGGTGGCGCTGCGGTATGCACGGCGCACGCGCAGACGTTTAACTTTCCAAGAATTCGGTTTCTGCGCACGCGCAGTGACTAAACCTGGTGTGGCCAAACACGGACTTGTTTGTACACGGCGTGTTAGTCTATTGCAAGTAGGTTCGTAGTCCCTGCCTTACTGAAAAAAAATTTTAAGAGGCACACCAGGATGTCTGAAATGTTTTGACGTACCCTTCAAAAATGTTTAAGGGGTTTGAGATGTTCGTCAAAGTTTTCTAAGAGGGCCTGACTTATCCTTTAAAAATTCCAAATAGGTGTAAGAGACCTGTCTTTAGTTTTTTTAGAGGCCTGTGGGGTCCGCTTTAATCATTTCCGTGAAACCACAGCACCCATCAAAATCGTTTTAACGGGGCTCTGGGAGAGATCAGGTGACCCTGCAGTATATATACGCGTCGGGGAAACCGCTTGGCCGTTTTGTATCGGGCAGCCGCAACGTGCCTTGGAAATTGAGGAGACGTTCCCCTCTCCCTGTCCTGTCATGGCCTTGCCTAACGTCCCCCCCATCACTGTGAATGTGTGTTCTGTGTTTCACGGGCTGAACAAAAGACGGCCAAGGACGCGTCCCCGCGCACGATCCCTTCCTCGTGAGTGAGGGAGATACGGTGCGCGAGGAAAATGGGACGGGTCCTTTTTGCTGTTTGTTTTAAGATAACCTGTTTCTAGTCTGTTGAAATATAGCCTTTGTCAGAAGCTGGTCCACCCGTTGTTTCTCCGTCAGCGAGCGCCAACTAAATGCACAACGAGCGGGCGCTCAGTGTCGGCTTCTCGTCTCATGCGTGGGACCTATCTTCTAGAGCAGCTGGGTGAGCGAATAATAAAAATCGTTTCTCAGTGCCCTGTTTCTTGCGCCTATTCGTCCGTCCGGGCTCAGAAGCATCCAGCGAGTGAAAGGGACGCCGAAAACGCCATCGCGTCGGCATCAAGATAGACACCGTGACTGTGCTCAGTACTTCTGAACGGCGGCGGATGTTGGTTGCGCGTTCGTGGTTTTCGCTACGTGTGCTAATGACGGTGTCTATAAGTACGCGTGGTGCACCTGCTCGATTTTATTAGCTGCACTACTCTACATCTCAGGAATTTTCGCAGCGGCATTGTGAGTACCTTGGGAAATATGTTTTGCGATGATAGATTGATAGACGTGCTGCGCTGCGAAGTTCTACAGAACAAACGCGTGATTAAAAAATTGAAAATGAAAAACGATGAGTTTACATTGAGATGAGGAGAAACACAACGAACACAAATGGGCGCAGAATAACAACTGTTTATTCTTTTCTTTTTCCTCCTTTTCAATGCATGAGTTTCCCAATGCGTGAGTTTGAAAAGGAGTGAACGCTATGAAATAATGGTAAATGTCTTCATGAAGATGTGTGGACTTTCGGTTTTTGTGGTGTTTTTCCCGTTTTCTAATAAACGTTCGGTTTTTGTGGTGTGAGAGGGGACCTTGAAGCTGGTGCTGGTTTCCGCTTCGTTGCAAGAGGAAACAGAGATCTAGTGCCGCTTTTCCAGGAGATCGGAGTTAAAAAGTGCTTTAGATACGTGGACGATTTCCTGGTATGTTTCCCTATGAACAAAATGACAGACCACGTGTGCGAAAAGGTCAAGCAGAGCTTCAAGCAAGTGCACAGAGGCCTAGAATTCACATTTGAACTACCGGAAGGAAGCAGGCTGCAATTCTTAGACATCGAGAAGGCATTTGGAGAAAAGCACACATGCTGGATGTACAAGACAAGAGGGGCAAAAGGCATACTACCGTACGACTCTGGGCACACCAAATTGGTGAAGAGGAGCGTCGCCTCTGGGTGCGTATGGCAGGCCATAAAGAAATCTTGCCACCACAGAATCTCAGAAGGCCTACAAAGGCAAATCACCCGACTACAAGCAAGCGGCTACCCAGAGTCCCTGCTAGTATCAGTGGCAGAAAAATGCATAGCAACACTCAGAGGCAATCACAAAACCAAGGAAAAGGATCAGGTCAAAAAACCTCTGGTAGTGATGCCATACATTCATAAATTTTCGCACCAACTGAAAAAGATCGCCGAAACGCACGAGGTCAAAGTAGCCCTATCCGCCCCATTCAAGCTTAAAGGACTGTGCAAAAACGTTAACGAAGAAGAAGGCGACACAGCGGGTCAATCGTCGTGTCGGGTAAAGCACAAAAACAAGTTCGTCGAATGCGTAGAAGGGGTCGTCTACAAGATACCATTGACGTGCGGAAACTCATACATCGGGCAGACGGGGAGGTGCTTAAACGACAGACTCAGAGAACATAAATATTCATGCGGGCAATTGCAAGCACCTGGCAACTTAGCAGCGCATTGCGCGAGATGCAGCTGCGAACCGCTATTCGAAGACACATCAGTAATGGACAGATCAAAAAATAGAAACAAACGAGAAATCATAGAAGCCTTCCACATGGCATCAGGGAGGCACGGCAAGTGTGTCAGTGATCCTTCCATTGCTCTGAACAAAAAAGAAATTGAGATGCTGAGACAATACATAACATAACGAGGCGGAAACCAGCACCAGCTTCAAGGTCCCCTCTCACACCACAAAAACCGAACGTTTATTAGAAAACGGGAAAAACACCACAAAAACCGAAAGTCCACACATCTTCATGAAGACATTTACCATTATTTCATAGCGTTCACTCCTTTTCAAACTCACGCATTGGGAAACTCATGCATTGAAAAGGAGGAAAAAGAAAAGAATAAACAGTTGTTAGTCTGCGCCCATTTGTGTTCGTTGTGTTTCTCCTCATCTCAATGTAAACTCATCGTTTTTCATTTTCAATTTTTTAATCACTCGTTTGTTCTGTAGAACTTCGCAGCGCAGCACGTCTATCAATGTACAACCAACTAGCCCAAACCCAAGTCCAAGTTTTGCGATGAAGAACTCGGTTTTTCCTATTTAGTCTGAGTACTTCCTTCTACAGGTGCCTGCACCCGGGTTTGTGTAAACGTTGGTTGTTATCGTATCTTTGACTTAGATCATGCATGCAAAACTCAATGGCAGAAATAAATTTCCACAGGCGTTTTAAGCTGCATTTTTGGTCTAAGGTTTTCAGTCATTTGGGCGTCAAAGGGTTAAAGGGCTGAAAGGGTCTGAAAGGCTGTAGGATTTGAAGGGCTGATTGGGTTTGAAGAGTGGAAGGGTTTTGAAAGGCAGAAGGGGTTTGAAGGGCTGTGAAATTTTATGGGCTGAAGGGGTTTGAAGCTCTGAAATGGTTCCATAACACATCAGGGCTAAAGTGTTGTTTTTAATGCGGTGGCACCTGAGAAAGCGCAGAGTATGTCTCATTATGTTAACACTTTCTTGTTCGACATTCGTTCTTCTGGATCGTAATCCGTTAATACCGCAATCTTATTGGCAGTTGAAAGCGAATGAGATGCTCGGGATTCGCCACGTACCAAAATTTTTAAGTTGTCCAAAACTATAACGAGTATTCAGATGTCATTTAAGCAATGTTTTTTGTTTAATGGCTCTAAGGCAGCAGTTCCTATGCGGTGCCTGAAACGCGTCTTTGACTGGTTTGCCTAAAGTCCTATTCCACCCACGCATCGAAAGCGGTTCAGAGGTGACAAGAAATGTCGTGGCAAAAGGCCTGAGCGTAATGTTATCGGGTGTAGCGGTCCCGGTGGTCGGTCGTAGAAGTTCCGGCAAAAAAGCACCAGCAAACGCGAGCGTCGCTGTCGTCGCGGCCGCCGAAAGCTTCCGTGCACTGTCAAGTTGGAGAGCGACCTGGTGAGAACCAGAAGTGTGCCACAACAAGGATCCATATTTCGAGGTGTCAAAGCTTATTTAGGAGTGTACGAATTGAGTGCCTTTATGGAACTTGACAACCACAATTGTAAAAGAAAAAAACGACCACAAGCGCCTGCTGAGAGTCAATCGCAATAACGAAGCATGGGAATGCAGTGAACAAGCCTTCTTTGTCTTTAGATGCGGAATAGAAGCGATTTCCAAATTTCTATTGGTATTGTTAACATTCTTTTCTTTTGTGTGTGTGTGTGTGTGTGTGTGCAGTCTTATAGCTGACTTTCTCAGTGAAAGGTCCAGTGCAATCTGTAGCTATCCCTGCCAGTTTTTTTTAATGATGTGGCATTTTTGGTGTTGTCAGTTCTTTTGTTGGTTTGACCCCATTGTTAGAGGTCCGGTGTCGTGTCTTTTGTGGAGAAAGGTGGTTTCGTGTTTTTTGTGGAGAGAGGTGATGTGAAGAGGGGTTCCCTTTCCTTCCTTCTTTTTTCAACCCTATATGAAAGGTTCTTACCTCAATAAAGGTTTAGCTGTGTCTGAGACGTTCTCCTTCTCTTCGTTGTCGTCGTCTGTCATTACCTCCGTCTCCGGTTTTTTCACTAAAATGTCTCACATCCACACCCGCAGCTGTGACGCCGCTGGGGTCGCGGTCGGCGAGAGCATGACACTTCGATGACGTCATTAGGCCGCAATCGACGGACCATATTTTTGGACGCGCTAATCATGCCAGTCGAAGACAACTTACAGGCCCATATTCACACTGCTCATACATCTTACAAACGACACAATATTCACTGCAATCATGACGACAAAATCATCGGTGCACGCGTCTCAAGGATTTCCTAAGTTTGTTTGCCTCGTACGTACGTATGCTTCAAAGATGTGTGCAGACAACTTTTGTATGCACAATGTGACAGGCGAGTTCTACAAAAAAATAAGCTCTACTCGTACATTGTCTCCTGACTGCATTTTTCATTTTGTATAACCAGTGTGGGAAGGACTTGAGCGAGACAAGGCCCTTCAATGCTGACCAACGTTCTTCGAAGGCCATCGTACCTGAAAAACACCCGGAACTGTTCCTGGCTGCATTGGGAGAAGGTGAACTGGTTTAAGTTCTTCGCCACGTAACTCATCTCGTAACCGTCGTCCCAGGAGCACTGGTAGGCGCCCCTATTACCGGGAATGTGAGACACGGGTGGTTGGCCATCGTGTGCGGCTCCGAACCTGTAAAATAAGAGCAAGGCGGCTTATACGCGCCCTTCAATAATATTGGGTTGGAGTGCATACTTCAATTTACACAATTTTACTGGCACTAGTGGGACCCAAGTACGCAGGGTGTCCACCATGGATCTTTGCATGGAAAACGAGCCCGGAAAACTCGCATCAGCACATACGAAGCATTAGTTTCACCGTGTGCATTTAAGTAGTGTACTTTATTTAGTTGAACATTTAAAGGCATAGCCTGCTTCCTCTGAAAAAGAAGGCCAACGATCCTGCCAGCGTCAACGACAGACGTGTTCGCAGACGACCAAATTTGCTATGGTTGCAATTTGTAGCGCCGTCTCCCGATAGACCCCGTCAGAATACGATTAAGTGAGTCACCTGCCTGCTGCGACTATAGGCAGATGGCGCCTCAAATTTCAACCATCGCTAACTCGGTCCTTTGCGAACACGTCCGCCTTTGTCCCTGGCAGAATTGCCGGTCATATTTTTTTTTCTTTTAAAAAAAGGTAATATATTAGAAGGTAAAATGCACTGCCTAAATACACATTCGGGAACAATTCCAGCTTTTAATGTGCGTCGATTTATGTATACCTATACTTATAATCACCCCTTCTGACCGAAAATCTTTGTTTTCGGGGTGCAATATCGAGGATAAAGGCGGGTTTCTTTACAATGTTTTGTTTCTCAAAACCTGACGTAGTCACGAAATATGGCATTGTTTCGTAGTCATGGTGATGAATCTTTAGTTACGATAGTAAAATCTGCTTATAGATTGGGCACGAACACTGCGCGAGCATCAGATTTCGGCTCGTAATATTCACTACCTCGATGAGGGTTCGGGCGGTGGCCCGTACGTGTCCAATCACTTCAATTACCGGATTTGACGAACCATAACGTTTGTAACTCAGTACATGCCTTGCACTTTGCCAATCCTAAAGCGTGGCTACGGTGAAGATCGGCGCCGTGTAATTGGCCCAAGATCACGTGACTGCTGGTCACGCTTTGACTTAAGGAGTGTAACGCTGCCTGTTTTTACCTAATCTTTTTTTTTTGCGTATGCCATTCAGTGGACAAAAAAATTAAAGCGTGTGCCGTAGGTTAGGCACGCAAGGAATATTTATGATTTTGAACAATATTAAATATTAAAAACTCGCGTTACTCCCGGTGAGATCAAATGTGTTGTAAAGGAAGAAAGTATGTCTGCCTCAATATTCTTAAGGTGTCTCCGTTGTGATTGGGCAACATGGCTAATACGGTATGATTTCTAACCTGAGGTCCTAAACGTTCATACTTCGTGACTGCGCGACTGCACGGAGATAGATGCACTCCCCGTCTTACGCTACACAGTATGAACCTTGTACACCCGTGAGCGATATGAAGGTGAACAGCCCTCTTCTTTTCTTTGAAGCTCCTGCAAGTTTTAGAACAAGCTCTGTTCCAGAGGAGGACTAGAACGCAAAGTTTGGACCCCCAAGCCACGTACCATTTGAGACGTTGAGAGTAAATATAGCTTTTGGGGAGCCGTAAAACAGTCGAGAAACCAGGTAAAATGTTCACCTTCATATTGCTGGCGGGTGTAATCTTTGTTGATCCTATCGGTACACGAAGGCAGAAGACGATGGTTACAAGAACTTTAAATGGACCCAGGTAGCACGCCAGAGGAACGCCTTACTTGCCAAAGCCTTGGCAGTCCTCTGGACTTCACTTGGGCCCATTAATTGCAGGCAGGCATTAAAGAAAAAAGTAATGAAATACGTTCCTCGTTACTGCCAAATAAAACGAACGCGGTACCGTCGTACGTTACCTCAAGATAAAAGTAACGCGTTACCGTTACCGATAAAAAGTAACGCACGTTTCTTTTGTGTCACATTTTAATTATTATTTAAGAGGTTTTACCGTTTTGACGTAACAGGTGTGCATAAGCGCTATATTTTAAGAAGCCATATGTCCATGCAGAAAGTGAACATAATTACCTCACCGTTTTTTATGGTTTCACCTACTCACAAAAAAAAAATGCCGAAAGAAAACGAAAAAGCTCAAAACTTTACTTGGCTTGGTGTCCAGAAACACGAAAAAAAATGTGTAATTTATATTAAGTCTTGGCAAGAAGAGGTAATTAGTAACATAACTGCATTACCCGTTAGTTGAAATATGTAACGTACGTACTTTAAAAGTTACTTTCTTGAAAATGTAACGAGTACGTTACAAATTACAACGTTATCGCAGAAAGTAACGCGTTACCGCCAACACTGCTCGGATCTCATACGGTTTTGCTCCACAACGTCACTTGGCGCTTGAGTACGTTTGTTTTGTGTTTCTAGTGCTTTTTTATGGCTCGCCACATAAATGCCAAAGTGCCAGACTTAATCCAAAAATTCCCAAAGAAGCAGCAGTCAAGCCTAAATCTGGCAGTTGTTTGGCGACTTAGGACCAAAGGTGCAAGATGACATCCAACCTACCAGCAGGAAAACCTAACTTTTACACTTTTTTGGCGTTTTATGGCCAGAGACCTAGATTATATTAAAAAAAACATCAAGTTTGGCTCTACTCTTGCCTTCTTGGTTTTCTTTAAGGCCATAGATTCCCAAACAAAAACCAAAATATGGGCCTAAAAAACGTTGCTACCTCGAGAACCTACTAAAAACCCCAGAGCTGCATGATCGACGTCGTCAACCCTTAAAAACCTAAGTCTCACTGGAAAACATCTGCATTCACTATAAGGCGTACAATGAGTTAATTTCTGTTCGCGATCCAACGCAAAAAAAAAAAGCAAGCTAGACGACTCGCGAAGTAGGTATAGTAATCTATGATGACCCCTAATCACCATGCGTCTAAGCCGACGTATGAGCGTTGTGAATATCTTTTAATCTCGGATTTTGTGGTACTTTTCGTTTACGTTTTATGTCTCCTAAAGCACTGTACTTAGCTGTTTCTACTTCATTTTAGTAAGTTCGGAGCAAACCACGCAATTGACTACGCGTGACAACTTCTAATTTAAACGCGTTTTTTTTTTTTTTTTTTTGCAAAATTTTAGAACTTGAATTTTTCAAAAACGTTTTCTCGGTTTATCTTTTCATACGAACCACGAGTACGAAAGGTGACGACTATAAACGTTTAAGGAAACATTGGTGAATGCAAGATACACTAAACAATTTTCAAGCACGAACTCTTGTCTCCGCTTTGCGCACCGCCTGAACGTTACACCATGAAAACTGCGAGCACAGGACGTAGTCAATAGCGCGGTTTAAGGCAGAGTCTAATGACGATAGTCGCCGACATCTAAAGAAAAGCAAGGCGTAACCTATAATGTTCACGCTTATCATTTCGGTATTCGATCTACGGCGGTTTCACGGCTAATGTCAGAGCCTCATCGCCTGAGGAGCGATAATAAGATGCTTAGGAATCGCCACCACCTGCCTTTCTTGAGTTTCACTGACCTTTATCTTTCAGGACCCTTATCAGTAAATGTTTTTTCAGAAACTTTCATCTTTAACTTTATCTTTAACTTTCTGTTACCTTTGCATTTACATTTCCATATTGCGGGGGATGCATGATTTGAGGATCGGCCTTTTTAACTTGTTTAGGCCCCCTTCAGACGGAGTAACTTTTTCAGCAATTTGAAGGCTGCTAGCGGGTTGTTCCCTGGCTTTCCCTAGATCGACACGAAATGCTGAGATCGGGCCCGGCTGGAATCAAGCGAGCACCTCGGAGCAATATTGGGCGAAAAAACCCGCCAAACAAATAAACAAAAAACATTTCAAAGTCGCTTGAAGCGGCAGCCGCCAATCGGGGACGCAATATTTTCACGTGATACCCGCTGCCGGTGATGATGACCACTAAAGACTAGGTTCTGGCTTCAAATTGAATGGGTTTTAGAAATAAACCGTTTCAGAAAGATGACTTAGCATTCCCAACGCCATTTAAAAGTATAAAACACGTTCATTGTGCGTAAGAGCGCGTCTAAATAGTGCAAGAAAAACAAAAGTTTAATGATGATGATGCCAAATCGCAGCAATCGGTTGCTGCGTGTGAACGCAGGCGGCCCCTGTTGGTGGTGTTGCAACGTCAAGTTGCTGGGAGAAATTGCCCTGTCTGAAGCGGACCTTAAAAGGCAGAGAAAAAGTAGTTTCTGGAGTTAAAACGTAACTTATAACTTTATTCATTTCTCCTAAACTGACTTAAACCAAATAACACGTGACAATTTTCCCGCTAAATGTAACGAAAAACTAAATTGGCGCATAAAGCCTCTTGACGTCAAGACCCATGAAATCAATTCCCCCGCCAAGTTTAGTGGGGAAACTAAATTGGTCGGTAATTGTTGTGACGTCAGGTCACGTGATATCAATTTCCCCGCTAAACTTGGCGGGGCAACTGAATTGGCTTTATGTCGTGTGACGTATATTTTCCCGCTAATTGCAGCGGGGAATGTTCGGACAAAATTGACAGATTTTTTTAATGCCGACTGGGGAAAAGGAAGGAGGGCATTGAAAGCCTTTCCCGCTGTGAAAAACAAATATATTTCTGATGGAAGAGCAGGTTAATAGAGAGGCGAGATGATTAACGTTGCACATGATTCTAACCAGAGAGGACGGACGGCCAAAGGGGACAAGGAACAAACACGTACGACTCGTGTTTGCCCCTTAAGTTTGCATTTGCTCCCTGTCCCCTTTGTGGTCTATCGTATGCGGTTAGAATAATGAACATCTTTCTGCTTCTCTGTTTTCTTGTGTTTTTTTTTTTTTTTTATTCCAGCTGTTGTGAATAAAGCAGTACACGTGAAAGTCGCTTACGAGTGTCCCATTTCATGGGCGGCGTGCCTGATGCCTTCGTAAAACCCCCTTCTGTCGATGGATTCGGCTACCCGACGCTTGGTGCACATGCCTCCGGTGAACGCAAGACCTAACGGGAGATACAGGACACCAAGAAATGCCTCAAATGTCGCTCAGTAGTTTGTATTGTTTTGTTCTTTTATTACCTGCTACTCCAGGCCTGGGGGTTCCGGTGGATACACTGACCATGGATCGTCTGGAACAAGATGGCATTGTGCGTTGTGTATCAGGTGCTAAAAATTTGTGTCGTACCTAGAAGCACAAATAAACTGTAAATGCTGATATTTGAGATAGCCGCTCAGATTGTAGCTGGGTTGGTGGGGATAACATTCTTATGATGTCTGAAAACTATACTGTTACACAATAGTCGCCCAGATTGTAGCTGAGGTGGTGCGGATAACAGTCTTACGATGTCTGAAAACTATGGTCACACGAGCACAACCTTAGGAGCAGAAACCATATTTTGCCCTTCGCAAATGTCACTGGAGAACCATGCGGATTGCGTTTGTGTTTTAAAACTCAAAATTATTTGAATTATCAAAGCCTTATTGGGAACGAACATCGCGTTATATCCGGGTTTCGGTTTCGCTTCCTTTTTTTTTTCCGGTTCTTGGTAGCTCTGGTTTTCTATTTAAAGAGCGTCTACGCGTTCAAACCAGACTTAAAAAATGAGTTCAACAACAGAGCACTAGAGCATATTTTATTTAGCCATTTAAGGAGGTGAGAATTACGTTCCAGCCCAACTAATATTATGAGCAACCAAACTTATTCCTGACCTGCAATGATCTGTATGTTGCCAATTGCGCTTATTACACCCTGCGCCTGCGACAATCATAGTTAAGCGACGCTGAACTATGATTGCAGGTCCCCTTTAAAGGCGAAGCTTCAGCGTCCTCCAAGTTTTTTTTTGTTTTTTTATTATCAGCTGATAGAAGCTTGAAGGTTCACAAGAGGAGCTACTTCGAAAGGTATGATAAGTGTGTTTGGATTCAAATAATTTCCAATGATGGTGTTAATTGTTTTTTTGGTAATCACTACTTGCCCCCACTTTCTGCTCAAAATATATTTTTTTGTAAACGGATCAAATTTTTTCAAAGTAACGTTGACTTCACTAACATCGATGCCCATACCTAAGGTGACTTCAACCTCGTTGAGTGTGACTGGGAGACTGGTGTTTCTTCATTAAATAGCATAAGCACAAAAAAAATGCTACGCTCTATAACAAACTCTACATTTTAATGGCTTTCAGCAACGTAACACATTGCAAAACTGCTCTTGAGACGTTCTCCACCATGCCTTAGTTACATCAGAAATCAATATCTGTCTCGCAGGTCAGACACTCTTACGAATAGATGACTATCACATACAATTCGTTATATCGTTTCATTTTCCAGTAAAAAATATTTTTTATCAGCAATCCTGATATTGCTATCTACGAGGCGATTACTCTAGTTTTCATTAATATCTCACTGAGTTTGACTAAAGCGTTTTCCTAGAGGACAAATAGGTTGAGGCGTGTACAGATAGACTTACAAAAACATTAAATAAGGGTATAGGTATGTATATACCGCAACATATTTCTCCAAAAACAAAGCATCCTCCGTGGCTCTCAAACCAGCTCAGGATAGTTTTCGAAAAAAACTGCATTATCATCGCCTTAAAAAAAAAAAAAACAGAACTCATTCAATGGTATGAAAGGTTTAGTCACTATTGTGCGTCAGCGAAACGACCGTTTCTGTATGATAAGCAGCAACAGGAAAATTCTGATGAGCAATCATTGATTAAAGAGCCGAGAAATATTTGGAAGTTCGTAAAAGTGAATTTAAAAAAAAAACACTGCTTCGCCGATCACATTTCATCACAACAGTGGTTATTGCTTGAATCCTACTTTGGTAGCAAACATGTTCGCAAAACAGTTTAGTTCATGTTTCTTGTCGCTGACTCATGCTTGCCAGGAGCGGTCAATAGATGTGGCGACTTCTTGTCTTGCATTCTGATAACTGAGTGTGAAGTTATGAAGGCCGTTACAAAGCTAAAGCCAAAATTATCAGTCGGTATAAATGGGATTCCGTCCAAGTTTTAAAGTGAAAGGATGCACAGCAGCGATTTGTCCTGTTTTTCCACACATTTTAAATTTGTCCCTGGAATCCGGTGCGTTTCCAGTTTCAATCAGTGTGGAAACTTTATGTTGTTATCGCAATGTTTGAGTCCGGTGATCGAAGTAAGGTAGTTAACTTTCGACCTGAGCCATTACACTGCTCACTGTTCAAAGTTTTTCTTTAGATTATATTACATACTCGTCCATCCGTATTTTTGCCAAAAAATTTAACCTCAACAGCATGGATTGTTTTAGAGTTAATGTGGTAGGGGCGAATATTTCTTCCTTTATGAATGAGGTTGTGCTAATTGTTCATAACCGTGAGCAAACAGCTCTTGTATATTTCTGACATAACGAAGGCGTTTCACAAAGTGGATAACCAGCTGCTTTTGGCAAAGTTAAACATGTGTGGCTTGTGTCCCACATATTGCAACCTGTTTAACAGTTACTTGTCGAAACGCGAGAGCATGATACGTGTGTCCGGTAGCCCATCCCACTATTTCTTAGCACCATCACGTGTCCCCCGTGGTGGTAATCTTTGCCCTCTCCTATTTTTGATTCTCGTTAAAGACATTATATTGCGGTTTATCTAATCCGAAATGCTACTGTTTGCTGACAACATCAAATTGTTTCAGCTGACAAATACTGCAGAACCTGTGTCTGTCTTCAACGTGATTTGTGTTCTATCTCCAAGCGGCCTTGTCTAGTGGCCTAATCCAAAACGATTCAAAACCAACAGCTATTTCTCTAGGTAGAAAACGTACCATTATGCTATTCCGCTACACTTTAGATACTACCGTTATTAGTAGTGTGTATCTGATTCGTGAATTAGGTTTTGTATAGATACTAAGATTTATTTTAATCATCAAGTTATGCATGTTGTCAATTCGTATCTACGAGTCTTAGGTGTCAAAACGCGTATATACAACAACTTGAAGACCCCACTTTGTTTTCTCATGTTATTGCGTTCCTATGTACGAAGACGCTTTGAGTTTGTCTCAGTCGTCTGGAACTCCTAGAATAATCAAATCATCTACTATTGAGCCTATCCAAAGAAAATTTATAATTGCGTTTTATGATTGTCGTTTACAACCCAGTGTATTTTATTACTATAGTAGAATTTGTAATCTGATTTGTTTAAAATCGTTGTGTACTAGACGCATGATAAGGTACTCTATGTTCTTGTACAAAGGTTGTGAATGGTTATCTAGACTCAACGGCGCCAATGAACAGTGTATGTTTCCGAGTTTCCCAGAGGGTAAGCCGTGTTGACTCATTATTTTATTATTTTCCTTAGTACAAAGGTGATTCTGTGAGTTGTTTGCGGCTGGTTTTAAACAAATGGGAACTCAAGTAACATTGATATTGACGTTTTTCGGACCCGGAGGAAACGTTCGAGAGTGCATTGATGTATTTTTAACCCTGAAGTATAGTATTGACCTTTGCTTTGTGAGTGGGGTCATATTTTTTTCAGTGCGTCACTAAAAAGGCTTATGGTTGTTTGTGCGGCACTCAAAATAAAGCAAATACAAATGCTGTTATTCTAAGCCTTTCATCAAAGTCGGTCGTATTTCTAATGAAATCCCGTAAACTGAAGGAATCAGCACTCAAGTCTTGTTTTCATGAATTTTCGAGGGATCGAACTCGCCGCAACCACAGCACATTGTGGCGAATGTTTTCCGCATTAGTATTGCCGGACTATTTTTAATGTGTGGTGCTAACGTATTTGTGCGATTGCTGCCACATAAGAAATGGCTTGCATAATTTCGATTACTACATCAAAGCGGTTAAAACCACAACTTTATACATCGCTGATTAACTCGAAGTTGCAACATTGTTTGTTGGATTGGGGCAAGACAACAAGAACTACTTTATTTGCTAGAGTAAAGCCGCACTTCTTAAAAACAAGCCCATTCATGACAAAAGTCCCTGGAGAGTGGGAAAAAGGAGGACAAAGGATGACCAAAAATCTCCAAACACAGCTAGGTGACTGATAGGCGACTGCAAAAAAATCCGCCTTGTCCTGGTATCAAACCAGGGACCTCTCCACTTCCGGTGGAGCGCTCTACCAACTTAGCTAAATAGGAGTAAGACGTCAGTAGAGCAAACATGTTTAACAGTAGCCACTGGTCTAACACCAACAACGGTGGAAAGTCTGATTTTAAGGTTATTGTGTCAATGCAATTAATGCAGAGGTGCCGCGAGCTGGACAAGAATAACAATAACGGTCTTTGGAGAGAGGGAACAAGGGGAGCAATCAACAAACGCAAATATCCTAGCACAGCTGGGTGACTGGTGCGCGACCTGTGTTTGTCGTTTGTCTCCCTTGTTCCGTCTCTCCGGGGATTATAGTTATTATTCTTTCCCAGCTCGCCGCACCTTTGCATTATTGCATTATTGCATTAACACCACAACCTTAAAATCAAGCCGTTCACCCTTGTTGGTATTAGACTGGTGGCAGCTGTTAAAACTCATTTTCTTTGCTGGCGTCTAACTGTTGGTTAGCTCAGTTGAAAGAGCGCTCTACCGGAAATGGAGAGGTTCATGGTTTGATACCGAAACCAGGCGGATTTTTTCAGTCGCGCATCAGCCACCTAGGTGTGTTTCGAGATTTCTGTTTGTCGTTTGTCCCCTATGTTCCCCCTCTCCATAAATTATTATTGTTATTCTTGTCCAGGCTCGCTGCATTTTTGTAATAGTCGTATTAATATTAAAGGCCAGTCAGTCTATTTTGCTGCAAAACAAATATACAGCGAATCATTGCGTTCTGCATAAAAGCGCAGCATTTAACAAGTTCCAGAAAACGACTCTCTGTAAAAATGTGATCTGAGTTGATAGCCTTTCAACGTGAAGACATTATCTCTGTCCCATAAATTGCTGCTATTTTTCTGCCGATTACGGTGATTGGCTATCCCAATGCTCCGATATAAAGCAGACCAAGAGGCCTTGTTCTTAAAGGCAGACAAAATTCGCCGGTACCGCGAACGACAGTTCTGAAATAAAGGTCCCACGCCCGTCGTCCGCTGCCATCGCCGTCCCTGCGAGTCCCACGAAACGCGAAACGACGCACTCACAGAATGCTTCCGGTTGCCTGTGGAACTTTTTTTTCAATCAA